ATTCCCCAGCCAGCCATGCTGGCTGGGGAATTCTGGGTGTTGAAGTCCACACATCTTCAAGCTGCCAAGGTTGAGAAACGCTGTTCCAAAGTGATGCAACTATAATTGCACCAGATTAACAGCCATGAGGACAGACTTTCTATCCACAATGATGGCTGAATGATGCTACAGGGCTATTACTCACTAGCGGGGAAATAACCTCACATTAGTTAACTTGACAGCACCACCACGTGGCAGGAATTGCTATTTATAACATGCCAAAAGAAAACCGGTGGTAGACGATTAGGACCCCTTCAATTCCCTTTCCAAGCTTTAGTGTACTTTCTGGTGCAACATTGTACAGTACCCCCCTTCAGTACGTTTCAGCCTTGTGTTTTTCTGAATGTCAGAGACACTTTGGTATATCATCTATCAGCATATTTTCCTCTCTGCAGGGTTGCTGCTGGGTGCTATTTTGAGCAATTTTTCCAAAATTGTGTGCCAAGATCTGCCTCTTAAGATGATAATGTATTCTGCTGTAAGTTCTCCTGTTCCTTACCATTGCAAAGATCTACTTTGGAAAATGGGATAATCCAGAGAGCCTAGAGCAATCTTGTCCTCTCTGCAGCTATGACGACCCGCAGCCCAGAATTGCTCTAGGACAGAATTTGATCATTTTTCTACAATCTTGAGAATTCTACCTGCTGCCTTGTAGTGGTGCTGTTAGAGCAAAACTTCAGGGCTCATCATAAAAAGATGGAGCCTCTCCTCCCTCCTACCCCAGCTGAGCTGACATCATAGGAAGGAATACAAACAGGGATGGATCAAACCCAATCGTGCTCCCTGAAATCAAAGATTAAATATTTATTTCAAATTTATATGGCCACCCACCTCACCCTGGTGGATTTGGGCAGCTAACACAAGCAAGCAGCAATGCAAATAATTATAATTGCCAATGAAAGAGACCAAAGTGAATACAACCAGCAGAAAAGTTACCTAATTTTTGACCCTCTCTGACCTTAATACTTTTCTCCATTTTGAAAACAGTGGAAACACAGCAGCATTTAATTTCCTTCCATGTAGATTAAGTTCTCTTTGTGAGCAGGGCTTTGGCACTCTGCTACAAAATTCTGCCCTGATGATACAGAGTACAATTCATTATACCGAGTCTTATTAAAGGATCAGGATAGGAAGGGAATCAGGGACGTGAGGAGTCTGGGAAGGGGTGCTTTGGTATATTCTAATATGTAAATGACACTGATTTCTGCTCATTTTCTTTAGCATGACAGCACCTTGATTGCTCTGCAGGGAGCCCTAGGGGTTTACAATGGCCATCCACCACCTTACACAGCGTGTCATGGATTTGAATTCTACCAAGAAAGCAATAAGTAAGTCTAACAAAAGGATGGGCAGGTCTTCCTTTTGCAACCACCAAGATGCAGACATGGTACGTTGCTTCCCCAACCTGTTCGGGACAATTCTTGGGATCCAGTTAGAAGCCTGAGAAGGCCGAACATATACAAAGCCTTGTGGATGTTGAACCTGAGGTTGGGCAGATCAGTTGGTGTTAATTTATTTTACAAACCAAAAACATCTTCAGCTTGCAAAGGTATCCAGACTGACAATCAGGCAGTCAGTCTTTTTCTCTTTCCTTTTTTTTCCTTCTTTTTCCTTCCTCCCTTTCCTTCCCTTGTTTCTAATTTATGCTGCCCATTTCCCCCCAGAGGGTGACTCTGGGCAGCTCATAATTAAAGGAGTTTAACCGGGCAGCATCCTACACCAAATAAAGATGCTTTAACTTTTGGCTTCCCGTAACTTAGTGCACTGAAGTCTGCTAAAACATAATTTTTTGCCCACCCTGAACTCAAGAAGATACTTTGAGACTCCAGATTCTAGATCAAGCTCATTTCCATTTTGTCATTTCATTCTGCTCTTCCTTTCTTACGATATCCCTCCCAAGTCAGCCTTTGCCTCAACTGAATGCATCCAAGCCGTTTCCTTGCAGCAGAGCTGGCTGCTTTCAAATGACCTGTCAGCAAATTTAATTGCTGACGCATTAGTAAGACTGTAGCATCATGATGGAGAGGCTGAGGTGGCAGAAGCGTAACTTTTTCAAGGATTGCACAAGAAAATAAAAAGCAAATATATCCTTTGGCAGGTACATATGGAGGTGAAGCAGATTCCAGAGTACTAAACTTTTTAATTTTCGCATTTCAGCTCTTTCAGCATTGCCATGTTCTACCGCAACAGGAGCGACCAGCAGCCCCACGTGCTAGCTCTGCCTGGCTGCCCCACACCTTGCCCACTGCCACTCTTCATTCATCTCACCCGTAGAGTTGTTCCACAGGACTGGGATGCAGAATGCCAAAACCCTCAGAGGGGTCCAGGTAACAAAAGTTCCAGTTCCTCCTCCCCAGCACAGAGATAGCTGACTTGAACTTTATTTAGGCCTGATCCAATACTGTATTCCATTTGCAGGGCACACTGTAATAGCGCTGGCTGCAGTGGTCGGTCTGCTGAGTGTGGCACTGATTGGCATGGGCATCTTGTATTGGAGAAGGTGATATGAAGCTAAGAGGCAACCTTCCAACCCTCACGGACTAAGCGGCAAACTGCCTTTTTGTATTCTTAAAAACCTGGTGCAATGCAGCCACCTCTGACTTGTCGCCCACCTCCGACTCCTCGGCCAGCATTGCAACTGGGAACTGTGGCAAGGGGGGAGCTGACACAGACTTTGTCCCAGGCAGTTCCTAACCAACAACTGTCTGGAGGTCAAAAACAGCAGGAATGAGAAGCAGCAAATCCAGCACAGGATGTTACTAGGAAAGGGAACACAAAGAGCTTACACTGAAATGCCATGTTAAATCTGTGGCACCACCATGTAGAGTTTAGCTCTATTCATCACCTACAAGCCATGCTTTTGAGATCCCTAGAAGATGGCTACCCACTTATAGCAGTCTTTGGGTGCCTAACCCAACTAGGATTCATTTTAACACTGTCATACCAGCTGGGTGAAGGGCTATTGCCCCCCACCCACTTCCCAGTCTTGCCCAATATCCCACGAGCCCTCGCTTGTTAAAAAGCTGCACTCTGTAGTTTGGGAAGCCTGACCTGGGTACAAAACCTAGCTGCATTTTCTAAAAGGGGCAGCTCGCATCTTCAGTTACTCTATAGCCATCTCACGTCCTTGGTAGACAGTTTCTCACCACCCAGTGGTTAAGCTGGATTTTTGGCTTTACACAACATGCTTACTAGAAGGAAAATTTTGCTCTGTTTGGGGTTAAAATTGCACTTTTTATTTCAGTACAGATTCAGGGAACATACTGTATAGGACCCATAATTATGTTAAGCATATTGTGCAAAATGCAGCTACGAGTGCCACACTACACCCAATGGAGCAAGGCAGATTCACCCACCTTCTCAAAGAACCACAGAGTTTCCTATTAGCAAGGGACCCACCCGCATTTCAAAGATCAGGTTCTTGGATCTACTTGACATAAGGCGAGCTTAGAAAGCAAAGGGTAACAAAGCACCCCTAAGGCAGGGTCATGCACTGTCATTGGTGGTGCAACTACATTGACATCACTGAACCAAAAGTAACTACTTTCCCATCAGACTCATCATTGTGGATACTTTATTCATTAATCCATTTATTCTTGCAGTAGGGATAACCGACTCTACCCCCTTCTATTTAATGCCAGTAAATTTGTTTGCAAAGACAAGTGGCACAAAAATAGCATATTTTATTGTAGTATTTCATTTGATGACTAGTGTCTGCAGGTGCCATGAACTCCCAAGAGACACCCATGTTCTCTCACCCAGAATCTCTCAAGGGGCTAGCAAAGTATTCTTAGATCATCTAAGAACACCTGGATACAAAAGAGGTTGCTGACACCTAACTGTACAGAATGCAATATCCTTGAAAAGAACATTGTTCTTTTCCCTTACTGGGCAGCTATAATAAATTTAATGAAGTAAATAAAAGGCCCAAGATCACCTTCCAAAACTGTAACTGGTACATTTTCCTACAAGTCCAACATTCCCCATTCTGCAGAATAGATTTTTGCAGTTCCTTTCCCAGCTGCTGAACTTGGCTGCCTAGGACTGTTTGACTCAGTTCTACGCAGCATCTACGGCAGAGATTCACAACCAATTGCAGCCTGTGGTACTGGGCAGACCTGCGCCCCAGAATCATGCTTTAAATAAGCTGCATAGCTCTTCAATGAAGGCCACTCTTTTCCCTAAGACACTCGTCCTCTCCAACTGCTATTAAGAGCAGGGACAGAGCAGAAAAGAACAGCTATTCTTAAAGGGTAGGGTTAGAAAACTTCTTTTAAAAAGACATGCCTTGCACAGCACTACCAACAAACATTTACTCAGATGGGTGGGTGATGCTGCAGCCAAATCTGAAGGTATCACAAGCAGGAAGTATTTTTCAACAGTAGCTGGTCCTGCCCTTTGCAACATCAGCACTCACATAGCAGTTATTCACCCACCAATAAGCACTTCAAGTAAACCTCCCACTGCCTTCTGATCAGCTCCAAGAAGCAAGCCCGTCACTTCTGCATACAGCCCTTCGGCCTACAAAACAGAGTAGAGTGCACAGTGGATACACAATGCCAAATCCCCCCCCCCAAACAGTGGATCCAGGAAAAGTTCTGAGTTGCATTTCTTCTTGGTGAAGAAGGTCCTCCACTTAGACATCTTCTGTGCTCCCACTGAAAAGTGGACAGCCAATTTGGCCCAGGCTGAATGAAGCAAGCAACACAAAATACATTAGCATCACAACACCTAAAAGCTTGGACAACCATCCCCAATCAAGTGACCCCAGATAAACTGGCTTTCAATT